TTAGCTATAAGTATGAATAAATATGTCTGTTATCATATAAAATTTTGCTATATTTATCTTAATATCATTATAAAATATATTAAATAAAAATGTTAAAATATAAAATTATTTATACTAAATTGTTCGAATTTTGAATGGTGAGGTTAAAAGTATTTTATCAAATTCCTGAAAAAGAAAATAGTATTAAAGTAAATTCAAATATAATATCCAAAATAACTGATTAAATGCAAGAATTTACAAAATTAAAAATGTTTGTCAATACATATTTATTTAAATTAATTTATATCTAATAGAAAATAAATAACACTTTAATAGTTATGAATACTATAGTAATATAGTACAATATACAATAGTAATATTTAGTTGTCTTGCCATAATGTGTTAAAAATAGTAATTATCTAAGTTTTAATTTAAAATAAAAAATAACTATTACTTACATTATTTGACTGGCGATTAATATCATAGTGTTTTACTTTATTATATATTACAACTCCTGCAATAACTATGACAGTACCAAGCCCACTTAAAACAGTAATAGAATTTCCAAATAAAATAATTGACATCCATATGAGAAATGCACGTTTGACAGTATTGGCCACACTAAATTGTATCAAATATGAAATTTAAATTTTGAATCTAAAAAATTAGACTGAAAATTATATTGATTATTACCTATAAGTAACTGGGCTTATATAATCCATAAGAACGTACGCTGTAATACTTTGAAAATGGAAAAACACTCCATTTAATATAAACATTAGTAAAAGATATAAACTAGTATTAGAAACCGCAGATTGAATATCTACTAATACCAACGACACAGGAATTTGAATAATAATTGAAGCTAAACTTGTATAGTATTGTAATTCAGCAGGTCTTTAAAACAAAAACATTCAATTAAAATAAACTTAAAATTAAAATTATTTTATACTTACGTATATTTGAATTTATCGCCACTAATTAGCATTTTCGAGTAAACATTTTGTAAACTAAAGAAAAATGAAATAAATAGTACTAAGAATACAAAGAAAAAAATAACCTTAAAAATATTTTTACCATTCAGTAAAATTGGTTGCAAGAGCAGCTATAAATCCTGGTAGGTTAAATGAAATTTCATTTGAAGAACATAATGCCAGGCCAACCATTATAGGAACTAAAGATAAGCTTACTAAAATGCTTGTTTGTTCACCTAAAATAAAAATATTTTACTTAATATAAACAATTATATTTTTAGTTAAAAAAAATAATTGAAATTTAATAAAAATATTATTTTATATAACATATATTAATAATGAATAAATACATATTTATTCTATTGTAAAAATGTTCTTTTTTCAATTTTCATATTTCAATGCCTGATAAAGCACTAGTTACATTAAATATTTAAATAATAAATAAATACTATAAATTTATAAAAGATAAAAATGCTTGATTCTGTTTTTCACTTTCTTAAACATAATATATATAATAATAATATCATATTCAACATACCTAATAACAATTTTGAAATAAATACAGTAAATATTGGAGCTGAACTTTTAATTGTTTCTGTAAAACTTACTGCTACATAATTTAGTGAAATGAGTCCTAAAAGTACAGTAATAAATCTGTAAGAAAAATAAATAAATGTTACAGTTTAAGGAAATAAATTTAAATATGTAAACATAACAAAACTACCGTGTACAACCAACTAAACACATATGAATATAAAAGTTTGGAGGCCTTGTCGATCGCTGTATTGGTTGTTTGTACATTCCACAAGGTAAATACAGTTGAACAAAACCACAAATAGTTGTCATGATCATTTGAGATGCTCCTTTAAATACATATAAAGTCAGAAGTTAAACATTTATCGCAATTAATATCATTCATAACAATAATATTTACCCAGTATTGTAGGATCTCCATTTAAATAAGAAAGGATGTACTTGTTCAAAAATAATGTACACCCACTGAAAAAATACCACAAAACCAAGAATACAATGGCTCTGAATGAGTGTAAACCATCTTCCATTCGTTTTTCAGTAATGGTAACAGATTTGGGCAATTGAGTCATAAATGAAAATTTTTTATCTAATAAATACTAAAGCAACAAAAATAAAACTATTAACTACATTGTAAATAGTTGGTAAATAATATGCGTAAAATATTTTAAGAGGTTTTTTTGTCAAATATGAGACACGTCACGAAAAAACGATACCTTTTTTAAAAAATTGTATTAGCTCATCGTTTTGAGTCTTATCATTCCTAACGATACGATATCGTTTTGTAAACAAATTAGATTATAGAAACGTAAATAGATACAAAACCGGTATGGGTATTTGTGCTGTGTATTATTATAGTAACAAGTGGAGTGTTAATATTATGAATTACAAAAATGACCATCTACGATAACCGATATTCTTGTACATATTGTATATTGTACAATTTGTGTGTTCTAAATTCATCAAATTGGTCAGCTGCTGGATTTGATTGTTCTTAAACACAACAGATGGCCAATCCGTTGGGGGGAGGTAATCAAGCTGATTAACTTATCATCAATCAGTGGTTTTACGAGTTTACGACTGGACGAATTTAAAATCAGATATATTTGATAATAACTGTTCGCGCCAAAAGTCACTGATATGAATTATGAACTATAAATCTTAAAATATTCAAGTACCTATAAGGCTATAACAATTCTTATATATTGTCATTCGTCAATCGTCATATCGAGTTAATAAGACTGTAATTGAGAATAAACATTTCATGTTTTATTTAGTATTGTATTCTAAAAAATAAAAATATAAATTATATTACACAAGAAGATTGTAATATGTCAAATATTACTTCGTCATTTGATCATAGTTTGTATACGCTCAGGACTTTGCTTTAGAATTTAGATCTACCACTGCATCATATTACCATTAATTTTTATTATCTGTTATATATATATATATATTACAATACAAATTCAGTCAAGTATTTACCTACATAGTACTAATTTATCTTGAACAAACTTTTAGATCTTGATAATGATGTATTGTGTTCTAGCATACATACAATTTTATCAAAAGATTGTGTTCATCTAAAAAAAAAAATGTTGTAATAAAGGTGGACATCCCAGGATGGTAAGTATGGTATTTTTGAGATTTAAAAAAAAAAATAAAAAGTAATTTTGGAGTAAAAATAAAGTATTTTCTAACAATATTAAAAATATTATATAAACCTAATTTAATTATCTCGACTAAACTTTTTGTGAGTCTAAAAACTCTAAAATGACTTTTATAATCAATGTTATCTTATAAATTTATCACTAATATGAAATTTGTGATACGTGCTTTCGGATTTTTTTTGAGAATAGATGAATTAATTAATTTTTCTTTTTATCTAAAGTTTTATTTATATTATTAGGTGATTTAAACTATATAATAATACTAAATTATTGTTCATTATTAAGGGATTTGATCACCTACAAAAATTAAAAAAAAAAAAAAATTGTACATACTGAAAACAATTTTAAATTTAGTACAATACAATCATAATAAAAATCAAATGAAAAATATCAATGAATCACACAATTGATAAGATAGTGATAATAGTTGTGGTTTATTATGGTTATAACTATTAACCGATATGTTCCAGCATATGAACAAAAAAAGCGTTTCTAAATTATTATCAATCCACTAAACATCCTTGGTATTAGTTGATTAATTTAGGAACACATTGAATATTTATTCCTGATTGTAGTTTTAGGTTAAAAAAAGTTAGAGAAAAGATAAAACAAGTGAAACAAAACAAAGTAATTCTGTCATTGCTATCACAGTAAGTCAGTAAGTTAGAATTTCAAATCTCAAGCATCGCTACTCGCTACCTCAAAATTCAGACGGACTAACATCTCGTTCCATTTGTTTTTGGAAAAAGTATTTGTGAAAACGTAAGTATATTTAAGTTTATGTCGAAATATGCGTGTCTTTGTGTGGTTTGAACCAAAGGTATGATAAACTGTAAATACAAATTTTAAAAGCGGTTAAGTAAATATTTTTATAAATACATTTAAATTGATAAATAATTAAGATTTGAACACGATACTTTCATTAATTATTGACCGCTGTTATTGATTCCCTAATTTTGACAAAAGACAATGATGGATGTTTTAAAATTAAATTTTAATATAACTCTAAATATCAAATAATCAATCTTAAAAAATTTTCTTTGACTCTTTGGCTTATAATAGATTTTTTTTTTTTAATTTTCCTTTCAAAAATTAATTTGTAAGTTTAATATTTTAATATTTAGTGTGTATTGTCTTGAATATTCTGAAATAAACTATAATTTATAATATTTTAATAATAAATGGTGGACATCTTATAATTTTAAAATAATTTATATGGAATAGGTATATAAAATCTTAACTAAAATGTATAGTTCATTGATCATGATTTAATGAACTTAATTTTTTATTTTAAAAATTATAACATTTAATTTATAGTAGTACATTAATATTTACAAAATTATTATCTCAAAAAACAATAAATATTGTTTATACTTGTTATGTATTTATATATTATGTGATTAATGAATGTATTAGTTTTTAATAAAATATATTATTTCATGTTTAATGTATAGTTTGTAATTTGATGTTTAATTAAAATAGTTCATTAATTTAAGTGTAAATTATAAATATTTTTGATTAGGTACTATTGAAATTTAAATTATTATTGATTTATAAGTTATCATATTATGTGAAGGAGGTAATGTATTTTTAATGTGAATTAGTGTAAATGTCTGGCAATTTTATCAAGAATTTGTTTAATTGACATTGAAAAATCTTATCAATCTTATGATAAGACTATAAATGAGTTTCATCTTATTATTTATGGTCTATATAAAAATGTATTTGCTAAGAAATATTAAAATGTTTGATTTTATTTGTGATTTATGCCAATTTTTGTATACAGGATTAGTTGGGAATATATTATAATACAATTATGGCAGTCCAAGCACAGTTTGAAAACAACTACGAAATAGGGGTATTCAGCAAGTTGACAAATTTTTGTTTAGTCGGAATTGATGTTTTGAAGACATTTTATAGTCTATTTAAACCTGAGAAATGTGATAACTTATTATCTATACATCTGTTGCTGGATGTTACATTGTTGATTGTATGATGGTTGGCAACAAAAATGGTATACCATTACCTAATTTTACTACTGACACTGAATTGCAATTTGTTGTCTTAACAATATCAAGGTACAATGTGTGGAAAAACATTTATCTGTTTTTAGAAATTTAATGATGTGCAATGACTATGTAGCACTAGTTTATTATCATATGGATAAAAATTCATAAAAATACTTTCAGATACTTTTAATGATGGAGTATTTAGATAAACTATATTATCCAACTACTTTTATTAAATTAATATATATCTTACTATTCACATTATGCTATATATAATTAAGAAGGAATAGAACATTATAAAACCACAGTGGAAGATTTCAACAAACTGTCCAGTTTGTTTCAAATTTTCCTTATAAATGGAATAGTAAATTGTGGTTCACACATTTTAGGAGCCAGAATGGTTGTAAATGATTGGAATGCTATTTGTAGTACTTAATATATTTTATATCAACAGAAATTTTTATCATCAACAGTATACTTAAATTAGATCTATATGATGTACACATAATTAAAAAATTCCAAAGGTGGTCCACTTACTGATAGTATTAAAGCTTTATAAATATAAAACACTAATATTTTTTATACTATATATGTTACGGTGAAAGATGAATATTGGTGAATGACGTCTTTTACCAAAATGATTCGATTATGTAGGTAAATTATGTAAAAAACCAGATTTTAAATTCAAATATACATCTTTCACCGGTCATTGATGTCATTTACCAAAACTAGTGGTAAATGATGATAAATCTCAAATAATACACTGATTTTTTTAGTATAGGTACTATTTATAATAATGATTTATTGTTGGTGGATGTTTCATTTTTTTATTTTAGACATTTATTTGAATGGGATAATAGGTTAACTAAAAATAATAAAATATGTGCATATTACAAATTATTTCTTTGTATAATTTTTGTTACCATGACATTTTGAACTGCACAACATTTCTGCTGCATTGAAGCACATTTTTTAGTACCACAACTAGTACACAAATTTTTACAAATGATATTATAAAACACACATTTGTAGCAAATACAACTTGTTATAATATGCTCGTTGATACTACCTAATAAACTAAAAGATTATCTCATTATTACTCGGGTTATCGACGTTATTGCTAGTTGGGATTTTCGTTTATCTATCTACTTGTGTCATGATATTTTTAACTAATGAAGATTACTCGGTACCTACACGCTTATCACTGATCATTCACATCGACAAAAAAGTATTAAACATCATTCTCCAATTAAATTGGTAATTGACGACATTAACCGGGGAATGTCTACATTTACAACGTTTACCAATTTTTAGGTAAATGATGTATTTTACCACATTTACATCATTCACCGTAACATATATATTATCAATATGTATTTAATAATGATATAAAAATTATTGTTTACTTTGTTTTAATTAATTTTAATAAAACTATGAAATATTTAACAGCATATTAATATTAGTTATCATTTGATTGTATATTTAAGTATTTTTCACCAAGTGATCTATATCCATTTTTATTTCAGAACTATTATGGACATTGATATCCGTGAGTTGATAGATGATGAGGATGATGAAAATCAAGAAGAAATGACTGCTCAGAAGGTATTACAAAATGTTGAACGTGCATGGTTAAACGAAAAATTTAGTCCAGAAATACTGCCACATCAGACAGACTATGTTGAATGTTTGTTAGAACAAATCAAGGGAATGGAAGGAAACCTTGCTAAATTATCAAAAACTGATCCAAAAGTGGACTTACACAAACTTGAACTAGAGCGTATTAAATTTGTAATTACTAGCTATTTACGAACTAGGTTGAAGAAAATAGAAAGTTTTTGTGTGAGTGTGCTTGAAGAAGAAGCCACTCGTTCTGAAGAAGATAAGTATTTATCGCCAGCAGAATTGAAATTTGCTAAAGAATTTTCTTTGAATGCAGACAATCATTTTGATACTATTCTCCGGCATATGCCTCAATTATACAACAAATTGGATAGAAATAAAAAAATTATCGAGCCCAATTTAAATAGTTTTGTTTTCTTAAAATGTAACAAGCATATAGACAGTGTTATTATTAAAAATACATTAGAAGGCCAGGAAGAAGAAATTGTATTAGAAGATGGTTCTCAGCATTTGATGCCTTATAGTTCAGTTGCGGAATTCGTTAAAAATGGTACTGTTCAATTGATTTAAAGTGTTAAATAAAAGTTCAACATTCATTCTTCATCCAATTTATTTTTATATTATAGAATTTAAATTAAAAAATATATTGATTAATACCATCTCTTTGTTTTGTTATTAAATATAATATTTGTTTAAATAAACTTATATTACATGCGTAAATGTTATTTTATTCCATCCAATCTATTCATGTATTTCCTTTATGTTGTATAAGATATATTTCAAACTAAATTTTTTCTTATCAGCAAATGCTAATACAGTAAGTTATTACTTGGTCCATTTAATATATTCCTAATTATTCAGAATTTTAATCATATTGGTTTTTTTTTTTTTTTTTAACATGAAATGGGGATAACAAGAAGGAAAAGAAATACAATTATGTATTATTTTGATCTTCTAAAATAAAATAATAGTTCATTTCAAAAACTATTAGTACTTATTTCAAGTATGTTTGAAATTTTTATTGAATAATGTGAAATTTGATTGATAGAATACAAAAATGTATTAATTAGTAGCTGTAACAAAAAAATAAAGTGAAATTATTTTAATAAGAACTAATTTAGGAGAAACCAGCACAATGTATAAAAAGTTATATTAATAATTTTAAAATAATATTTCTATAAAAGTAATCAAAATAAATATGAAATAAGAGTATAATCTAAATTACAAAAAAAAAAAAAAGTGTCAAATGTTACTTTAATAACTATGCACAAAATTATTTTTAAAAGAAAAAGTTTAATTATGGTTTTTTTTTAATTTTAATGTATATGAAACATGTTCACAAACTTGAGATTAAAACAAAAAAATACATTAAATCTAAACTAAAAAAAAAAAAAACATGCCTTTTAAAGATTTTTACTTCTTCTTTTTTTTTGGAACTGGTGATTTAGGATCTCCTGCATCAGCTTTTTCAACTTTGTCTGTTTTCTTTTTAACTGGAGCAGGAGATGGAGCTGGCTTCAAATTCTTTTTAATCAATTTTTTCTGTTCTCTTTCTTTTTCTTCTAACTCTTGATTTTCCCGCTCTATTAGTGTAATTAAGGTGTTGCAGCGCCTTTGTAATTCATTAGCAGTACGACTTTTAATAAACCAATCAAATCTAAATTGAGGAGCACACCTAAAACAAATATTAAATCTTAATAACTCAAAATACAATATTCAATGATTCTTTGTTAAGAAAACTTAAAAATGATGTATTAGAAATACATCATATATATGAATTTTTAGATTATTATAATAATTATTATGTACTAAAATAAAATAAAACAGTATGGAAATTAATTTTTGTTCTGTAATTTACTTATTTTTAGTAACTCATTAATTAAGGTTGATTTAATTTTTTTTTTAATTTAAAATTTTTACATATATTTATGATAAGACACTTACAATATTTAAACATAAGTAGTAGGTACTAAAATTTATTGTTAATTAATACATTAACAACTTAACTCAATCTTACCTTATAGCAGCTCTTAATTCTTCGTACACATTTTCTTTATCAAATCCAAGTTTATGAAGCATACAAACTAAGAATCTATCTTCTTCTTCAGTATAATTTTTGCCTTTGTTTGCTCCATATGAAATACGCAATTGATGAAATGGAGCCCTATATCTAGTCATCTATTAGATCATAACATTAAAAAAGGTACAGTTGTAGAAATTGTTTGAATACAGAAATGAAAATATATTACTTTAGCATCCAAAGCTCTTTTAATACTAGCTCGGCGTTGTATTTTGGATTCTCCTCTTTCTATTTGTCCCATGATTCTATCAATATCTTGAAACTCATTACATCTTTCCCAAAATACAGCACTGTATTCTCTTACTTCTTCAGCCGTTTTACCTGAAATTTAAACATATCATATTTTTATTTAGTCATAGGAACATAAGGTTAAGGAATTAATATCAATAATTAAATAATAACAGTTAAATCATAAATACCTTCTACTTCTTTAGATATATTATCAATGTCATCTCTGCCATATTTTTCATTAGCTTTAATAAACTGGTTAAAATCACGTTTATTCCAATTTGTAAACCCCTAAAAACCAAATAGATAATTAAAATAAAATAAAATAAAATAGAATATGAATTACTTTTGTTAATAAAACTTCTTTTTCTGCTTGTTCTTCTTCAGTAAGTGGTTGGGCTTCATCTATTTTCCTTTGTTCTTCTTTCTGTATTTTGGCTGCATCGGCACCTAATTCTGAATTTTTTGGTACCTATTTCAATTAAAAATTGTTAAATTAATTAAATTAATAATATTTAAAATTTAAAAATTAATCTAAATCTTGTTAATTTGAGTTTATAATTAAATTGGTTGATAAGTAATACGTAATTGATTATTTATTGTTTAAGTAATTTGGTTCAATCCATTTCTTATTATAATTAATGAATTTAAATATTAACTTACTTTATATCCAACTGTTTGTCTGTAATAATAAATTTCTTGATCAAGTAAATCAAATAAACGAGTTGGGAAAAATTGAAAATCTTGAACCAATGGTTGTTTAGGTGGTCGAGGTGCCTAGGAAAATTGAAAAGAATTCATTTTAGTCAATAATAAATTTACTTGCATATACAGGGTTTGTCTGAAAAGTAATGTCAGTGATTTCATTTTAAATAATTATTTGTCATTGCGCGATTAAATTAGTTAAGAATAAATAATAGAATCCCGGTATACGATCACGCAGTCACCAATAGTCTCCAACTATCCTACAAATGATAAGGTGTATAGTCATACTAGTTTTTGTCTCCTGTACAAGCCATAATGCAGTATTTGATAGAGCAAGTTTAGAGTAAAACTTAACGATTTACCAGTGAAAACTTTTCGTATGATAAAGACATTATTTGGTAATGATTCTTAATTGGAAAGCAATTCTTTTATTGGCACAAGGCCGTGAAATATTCAGCAATGAAGTCTGCATCAGTCAGCCATTAACAACCGCCACCGAAAAAAAATGTGATGTGTGCAAGAGAACTTTTGAATACAGATTGTAGGTTAGACTTTAGTTTGATGTTACAGACATTGAACATCTCAAAAAGTACCATTCAGAAAATTGTGATAAACAATTTGCAGAAGCAAGTGTGCAAAACTGGTGCCCAGAGTGTTAACAGACGATCAAAGAATGCATAGACTTAAAGTGTGCCAGGAACTTATGAATTTGGGTGAAGGTACCCTCACTTTTTAGATAATGTTATCACCAGAGACATCTTAGGTGTTCACATAAGAACCGAAACAAATAGGTAGAGTGCGAAATGGCACACACCAGAAGAGGCCACTCTTCTCACCCATTGAAAGTGAAAATGAGCAAGTCAAAGATCCAGACAATGGTTATGTTCTTAGACATTAGAGAACTTGTACTACATGAATCCAAGATACAATAATCAAAGCCAAGGACTGTGTAGAAGTTCAGAAGAATTTTCAAAAGAGGTGATTGTATCCGGTTCGAAAACACAAACAATTGGAAGTTGCACCATGACGATGTGTCAGTCCATATTGCTTTCCTTGTGACACAATTTCTGGCTGATTTGAAGGTTCCGAAAATTCCCCCAGCCACCCCAGTCTTGGCTTCTTTAGATTTATTTCTGTTTCTCGAATGAAAATTTCAAAGAAAGGTTATCATTTAGAAACAGTTGACAAAATCAAAGACACATGTACCAGGACTCTCTAAATGGCATTCCAGAAGAGACCTGTCGTGACACCTTTGATACATGGAAATCTTGTTAGAAACAATGTATCAACACAAGAGGATCATACGTTAAAATATTTATATGTAATATATTGACATAATAAACATATATATATTTTTTTAATTGACTTAACGACATTATTTTTCAGTTTTTAAACTATTTATGAAATAAGCTTATATGATTTATAAATATATCAGTATTATTATTTATTACTTTAGGTTGTTTAGGTTCAGATGTTCTAAGTGCTTCCCGAAAATAGGCATCAACAGCATAATTAGCTTTGCGTTCACGTTTAGGTGGTTCTATCCAATTTCCAATACCAGTTAACTTTTGCTTTTCTCTGTAAATATTCAAGTTAATTTAAATCATAGATATATATTTAATAATTGTCATAACATTATCAATGGTTATATTATATTATACCTATAGTCTTCTCCTTCGAATGTGTACAAGGATGATTCTGTTTGAGCATCTAATGTAAAATTTCTCAATGACGACTCTCCTAAAGACTCCAACTTTTGCTTCATTTCTTCTGTCTAAATAAACATAAATTCATATTTTATAAAATGATTACTATATAAATATGTTACAATACTAAACAAAACTATGATTCTAAAAAATGTATCCTTATAATAATTCTACTTTAATTTTAAGAGCTCAAATTAAACTGAGCATAAGGTCAGTTCGTTAAAAAATCATTTTTTTTTACATACCTATTAATATTATAATACTAAAATGATTGTTTGAATTGAAATCTTTACCTTTTCTTCTCCTTTCCGTAAAATAGTATCAATATCTTCATCAGTAATTTCAGAATCTTTAGACTGGAAAACATGATTTGCACCATGTCTGATCATATTCAACATTTCATCTTTATTCAGAGTATTTTTTTGATTATCTATTAATCGACCTTGTTGAATAACTAGTTTATCCAACCGAAGTTTAACTTCAGCTCTTTCAACAATCTTTTCTTCGACAGTATTTTCAGTGATAAGACGGAATACTCTTACTTGTTTTTTTTGTCCAATTCTATGAGCACGATCCTGTTAAAAGATGTTGTTAATTGTTTGCTAATTTTAAAAGAATAAAATATACCAACCATTGCTTGTAAGTCCATTTGAGGATTCCAATCAGAGTCATATATAATAACAACATCTGCAGTTGCTAAATTAATACCTAAGCCACCAGCTCGAGTAGAAAGTATGAAAACAAACTTTTTACTGTTTGGTTCATTATACTCATTAATTTGACGTTGGCGATCTTCATGAGGGGTTTGACCATCTAAACGGCAATACTAGAAATAATTTTACACAGTTAATTAATTTAAATAAACACTACTGGAAATATAATGATTTATGTATAAATTATTAAACCAGAAATTAAACAAAACAGTTAATTC